TTTTTGTAAGTAATAGATTAGTTTTTAGAATTAATTTATTTGTACAAAAATGTAACAAGAGATGAAGTTGGAACCATTTTTTGAAGACAAAAGAGCAATTTTCGAATCTAAAAGGTGTGCAGGATTTCAGTGACATTTTCTGAAAAGTGTCACTAATGCTGTTTACAAAGGGTTGTTGGACTTCTAGCGACAGTTGCTGAATTTTAGCATTCACGAAGTTTTTCCAATCATTTGCAAGGAATTGGTGTTTACTCAAGTGGGAGCTTCTTCAACAACATTACAAGAAGTTTTTTGGTCACCTTAAATGTCCCATTAGGAATGGACTTGACATTTTTTTGTGTTGCCTCACAAAAAAATGTCATTAGTTGGTTATATTTATGCACATATCTTTTTATGCATGTTTGTGTTGTTTATTTTATGCAATTGTTATGTGTGGTTGATAAATTAGTTTTTCACATGATTAAATAATTTTTGACAAAATAAACATCACATGGAGTTTGGGTTTTCAAAATTGGACATAAGATGTAACCAAGTTATTATTAAAAAAAAAAAAAAAAAAAAAAAAAACCCGATTTTATGAAATCGTTATTAATAACGGCAAATTTTGAAATACTCCATTATAAGTTTTAAAATGGTGATTTTTGTAACTTATACAAACTCCAAATATAAAAGTAATAAAATGAAGTTTTATTAAAGATATAAAAGGTTCAAATGCACTCAAACTTAATACTGGTTATTAAAATTGAATTGCGTCAAATTATATAAAAACTAGTTTTTTATATAGAACCTTTAGCAGTGATTTTCTTTTAAAAATTGATACCATGGTTTATTATATGCATGTAATAAACATGATATCGTATGTTTTTAAACTAGAATTATAAAACATATAAAGACCCTTTGTTTTACAAACCTCAAATATATGCAATCATTTTGAAGAACACTCGCACATCTCTTATATGCACTAGTGGGATAAAGGATACCTAACCGCTTAGTGTTAAAGACTTGTGGTCCTTAAAATCACTTTATGCATATAAAAGATGAGGCTTTCACTCATTCTTGTTTACTTGATGCAAATGGCCGAAAATAATCCTCTCCCTCTCATTCTCTCTTAATTAGTTAAGAGCTTTGAAGATTACTTGCTTTTACATGCCCTCTTTAAGTTCATATTGGTTATGAACTTAAAGCTTAAGGGTTTAAGAGTTTGTGGACTGACATCTACATCAAGTTGAGTCATTGTTGGTGTCTCAAAGGTTCCACATTCTTCATCAACTTCCAAACCTCCCAAGAGGACCCAAAGAACAAAAAAGGTTGTTATTTCTTCATCCTTTCTATGGTTGATGTTTAATCAATTAATCTTTCTATAACTTGCAATAAGATCATTGGTGGGTATAAAATGTTTATGTTATGTTCTAAATTTAAAGTCTTCTGTTTGCCAATTTTTGTAGTTTTTGAAACTAATTTTGAACTAAAACCCAACACTTGTGCGAGGAGGTATTTCTCTTTAGGGATTTTTGTCATCGTGTTGAGGTCGGTGACATTTGGTTGTTGCATGTGGTGGTGGTGGTGTGAAGAAAAAGGGAGCAGAAGGAGGGTGACGAGGGCGGTGTGGTCGGAACGTTTGGAATCAGAGCAAACCCTTGAATTGATAGGTTTTTGTTGGTGGTCGGTGAATGAGCAAGCCCTTGGAGGAGAGTTATAGGTCTTTTGAAAGAAAGCGATGACGGTGGTCCAACGATGCATGCCCTCTCTTTCTGGTTCTCGTTGGACTTGACTACAAATGAGGATACATGTTTCTTAGATATGAATCTGTCCTATCGTCGGAGACATTTCCGTCGACGATGAGGATGATCCAAAACCTGAACCATAACCAGATCCCTCTGCTTCACAACTACCACTACAACTGTCATTCGGCGTTGGTGCTATTGGTTGGAACATGTCCATGATTTGGGCAATTTTGGCGGTGGAGGCGTTGAAGAGAGAGAGAGAGAGAGAGAGAGAGAGAGAGAGAGAGAGAGAGAGAGAGAATTCATAGTTGAAGACCATTCATGAAAAAGAAAGTTTTAGAAAAATCTGAGAAATGTTTTTAACCAAAAGACCATTTGTTAAATTTTGTCTAAAATAAACTTTTGGGTTTATGCTACAAAAGCTATTATATATAATCTTGTTCTGTTTTATCCCCAACTTTATTTTTTTTCCTCATTTGTCATTATATTTTAAAAAACGTTTCATTTTCGGTCCCTTGGCCGGTCACCTACAGGTCATGATGACGTGTCGGTTTGACATTTGTTTTCCGTTTCCATTTAGCCCTAACATTTACGTATAAGTTTGCATTTATCCCCAATATTTACGTATAAGTTTGCATTTAGCCCTAACATTTTTTTTGTTCCCATCTGCCATTATTTTTTAGAAAAAATTTCATTTTATCAATTGTCCAATCATGAATAGATATTTTAAAACGTAATATCTTAAAATGAAAAAAAAAGAAAAAGATGAATGCAAGATTCGAAACTACGAATTCTCTTTGAGGGGCAGAGCGTGTTAGCTACTAAGTTAATGACTCTCTTTTTTGTATTATCAGTGTTTGTTGTATTTAATGTGCACATGTATTTTAAAATGAAGGAAAAAGACCTAGTGTAAGTCTTGAGTCTGTGACATCTAATAAATAATATGACGTGCTAATCTTTGAGCCAATCAAAATTGTTAATTCATTCATAACTCATCTAAGAAACAATTGACTATTTCTAATGACATATTTGTTGAGAAACAAAATATTTCTAAAGAGTCGAAACTGCTACTTCTCCTTGAGGGGCGGTGCATGTTAATTAGTAAGTCAATGGCTCTTTTTTTTTTTGTATTATCAGTGTTGTTGTATTTAATGTACACATGTAGTTTAAAATGAAGGAAAAAAAACTTAGTGTAAGTCTTGAGTCCGTTACATCTAATAAACAATATGACATACTAATATTTAAGCTAATCAAGATTGTTAATTCATTTGTAACTCATCTAAGAAATAATTTGTTATTTCTAATGACATGTATACATTAAATACAACAAACACTAATAATACAAAAAAGAGAGTCATTGGCTTACTGGCTAATACGCCCCGCCCTCAAGAAGAAGTCGCAATTTCGACTCTTGCCTTCGTTTTTTCTTTTTCATTTTAAGTTATTTCATTTTAAAATACCTATTCGTGGCTGGCCAATGACTAAAATGAAAAATTGTGATGTCCCCAAATTTCCAATACAAAAAATTCATTTTTGTAAATAATAAAACCATTTCACACATTTAAATAAAACATAGTTTAACAATCGTTTTGAAAACAAATACATTTATTCCAAAATAAATAAAACAACAGAAGTCTTATATGACGATGCGTATGTACAGTCATGTCTTGCCTTCCCTTTATTTGAAGAAGTACCTAAAAAATATTTATATGCCACTAGGCAAACATAAAGCTTAGTGAGTTCCTCGATATATCATATACCACAATACATATACATGCATACAAACAAATGGCTCCCGTATGCTGGTCGTTCCACCATTAATAAGTGTATTTCGACTTAAGGCCTACTTGCCATTTCGTCGTTAACACTCGGGTCTATAGGCTCCCGACCCAACTGTCATTCCGCCAGCAACCCCTACACTACTAAGAATATAATAACACATATACCCATAGATACACATAACATACATGAACACATATTGGAATACGTAATATAGTGAGTCAACTCACCTGTTTTGCAAAACAGCAATCACGAAATACTGAAACCTTGATATATTCTCCTAACTTGAACCTCGTATTATACACGTATTTGAGTGTATAATATACATATGAAATAAGTGGGATTCATAATTGCCTTCCAACATGTTCAATCGATTACTGGCACTAGCTCGCGCAGTATGCGGAGTGGAGACCAACTTTTCTTAAAGGGAAATGATGTTAGCTTTCATTTGGCACCAACCACTCGCCCCCACTCGCCGCCACGCATTGTCGGAGAGGCTGGTGGTCCGGTTGCCAGCTAAATGCCGCATTTTTATATCTCAACTTCAAAAATCCGTAACTTCTTCATACACGCTCCCTTTTCGACGTTCTTTATATCCATGTGTAGCTATTGACGAATACTACAACTTTCATTTAGATTGTTTCAAGTAAAAATGAATATATTTTTACGTATCGTTTTATAAATAAGAGTATATACTTTTATTTAATAACAAAACTTGATTTAAATTCCAACTATTTGAATTATGAGATGACCTACCTTTAAATACTTGTATAATTATGTTTTCTTAAAGTAATACATAACATATTCTTGAACTATTTAATATATATAATTATTTATGATTTTTATAACAATCGGTTTTATATAAAAATACTGAAAACGGATGTTACAAAATTTTTCAAAAAAATAATAGCAAATGGGGAACAAAAAAATGTTGAGGCTAAATGCAAATTCATAGCTAAATGTTAGGATCAAATGCAAACCGAAAAAAATGTAAAACTGAGACGTCATTATAAGGTGACCGACCAAGGACCCGAAAATAAAACGTTTTATAAAATATAATGGGAAATGATGAAAAAAAATAAAACTAATAGATATATAATTTCACATTTTGTGGCATAAACCTACACTACTAAAACAAAATAGTAGAGTTTGTAGTGTTACAGTTTCTTTGAAAACAAACCCAATTAATCCTTCCCACTAGGTTTCTAGATTTTGTGTTTTACAATGAAAACTAGTCATTTAGAGTTGTAAGTCCTGATATGCGGTATTAAGGGTGTTTGGCTTATTTTTTTGGAAGACAAAAATCTTTTTGGCAAAAGTTATAAAAAGTCAGGATTTTCTGACCTTTCCAAAAAGTCAGTTTTCCTTAAAATACAAAAGTTGCTTTTAAAATGCTTTTACCAAATATTTTTTGCATTTTATCTTTTAAAAAAAAAAAAAAAAATTTGGCTCTCAAAAATAAGCCAAACACCCCGTCAGTAAGCACCTCAAGATTATTATTCAGCTGATCGACACTCTTTTCTTCTGCAATGGAGGTAGATATATCAGAGGTCTTAAGGGTACTCGATTCTTCACTTTCTCGAACTAACTGGCGTCTCAGAGCTTCATCAAAGCGTCGTCTTGAGACAGGTTCTAACCCCTTCATGCTTCCCTTAGAAATCGAGTAATATATATTCGCAATCGTATCTGCTGTTTTTACTCTTATTTTTGTTTCTTTTTTTCGGTTTTAGGAACCCTAATTAGGCAAGTATCTTTCACGATCATGTAAAAAGTTCGAACCATGATACAATTGTTAGAACTGTAATTCATTCGCTAAAATACCCCAATAATGAGAAATAGGGTTAATATTCTAGATCAAACTCAATATCAGCAACTTGTTGTCAATGAACTGATAGCAACATTTGCTTACATGTATGTTTCGGCAGATATCCTGGCATTATGCAGTGGAATGAGACCAGTAATAATGATAGATTATGGTGGAAAGATGCCTGAATTGAGAGAAAGACTATGTGCATTTCTAAAGCTCAACAAAGAGGTTTCATTACAACTTATATCTTGAATCGATATTATAACATCTCTGCATTATTGTCAGAAACTCAGCTTTTCAATTCTCAGAGATGCTTTTAACTATTGTTTCTTGTGGTTTTTGAATGCAGGAGTCTTCTATCTTTGAAAACTTGAGAGTCATGGTTATTGAAGATATGATATATCTAATACATGTCAAAGCGATTGCAGATTTTATCAAATTAACAATAAACAAAGATGTCAAACTGCATTTTGTTGACCTTGAACACGATCCACCAAAGGTTAAAACTTAAAACATTTCTCTGAAATTGTATTTATTTTCCACTTTCTTATTTTAAATCAATTAATCCAGATGATACCCGAGGTTGAAACAAGTTCTATAGGAGCACAATTTATATCACTTCAGAAGCTGTTTTCATCAGTCTTTTCTACTGATGTAATAACAAATGATGTTTCTGACTTCATTGATCTCACTCATTTTATGCAAGATACAGTCATCACTTTGCCAACTCTAAATGGGTAATTCATCCACCTTCAACATTTGTCTTGAAATAGATATTAGAATTACATTTGACGATTATACCCTTCTAGTACAGGTGGCTTCTTGGTTACCCAGTGGTGTATATTTTTGGGAAGGATCATATAGAAGATGCTGTATATAATCTTTCCACCAAATCACTACATCTTTTTAACATTTTTGTCCAAAGGTTTGTGGTTTTTGGTCTATTTTACCCCTTATATTATGTAAAGTAGCAAATTTCTGCTCTAGTTTTAACTTTGGTGTATGTTATTATTAAACTTTAGGAACAATAGCTCCAGTAAAAAACCTTCTGAAGAAGAATTAATGAGGTAATAATCTTTTTAACTATTTTCATTTTCTTTGTTTTTGATTCATTGTGTGTTATTTATTCTTGCTTTTATATTTTTTTGGTGGAAACAGTTTTTCTGTACCTTATGATCTGAGCATAGATGGGGATAATGAAGTGTGGGCAGAGGTGTTCCTTGTAGGCATGAGGGCAAAATGGGAAGAATGTAAAAATGTTTGGGGGTCATTGAGAATGGAAGTTAGTGCTACTTATCCACAAGCAATTGCATTGTAATAACTATTTTCAGTTGATATAGTTGTATGTATGTTGTCCAAAGACCAAAGGGCAAAATAGTCATTTACACTTTTGAAGATGTTTTGGTTTGGTGAGTCAACATTGGGATGCAACATAGAGATAGTACAAACATAGAGAACAAGAATTGATGACTCGTGTTATATAATTTTTATTCAACAATTCGGGTTGTGTGTTGATTATTTAATATTGTAATTGGGAGTAGTTGAATTTGTTTGGATTTTCTTTATTTTTTGGAGAACTTAATGTATTATATACGGATTATATATATGACTTATGGAATCACTAAAGTTCATCTTGTTTATGTAAAAGGGATAATGACTTAAAATGTAATATATTTTTCAATTTGTACATTTGGTCACTGAGTTTTTTTTTTTCGTCCACATTTAACCCTTCAACTTGTTAAACTGTACACATTCAGTCCTTAAGACCGATTACTCCAGGTTAGTTGGGAAAAATGACTTAATAGGCCAATAGGGTAATATATTTCTTATTTTATACACATGTAGTCTTTAATATTTTTGTACACATTTAGTCATTAATATTTTTCTTTTGTTTCAAGATATGTCTTTTTTGTTTTTGTACTCATTCATTATTTATGAATAATTTCTTTAGGTTTTTCTCACAACATCTTACGTAGGACAATCATTGATGAGGTGTTTGGGGCTGTTAATGCTATCACGATCTCGACTGTTTGGTTGCGTATATCTTGTGGTTTGGCTTGAGTCTTCTTTTCTGAACGTCGTAACCTCTTCATACGATATCAGATTTTAACGATCTTTATATCCACGTGTTCGGTTTTTGAGTCTGCTACAACTTTTGTTAAGATTACTCTCGTTAAAATGTAATATATTTTTACTTACGATTTTAAAAAAAAATTCATACATGCATTCATAAAAAACGTATGGATATAAAGATCATAAATAAAAATATATTATTTTTTAACTGAAGTAATCTAAACGGAAGTTATAGTAGACTAAAATACGAACGCATGAATACAAAAATCGTTAAAATCCGAGATTGTATGAAGTTATGACGTTCAGAATACATGACCTAAACAACCAAGTAGTCGAGATCGCTATGGACATAAGCATTATAAGCCCCAAACACCTCATTAATGATTGTCTCACGTAAGATGACGTGAGAAAAACCTAAAGAAATTATTCATAAGTACTGAATGACTACTAAAAAACAAAAAAATATATATCAAGGATCAAATGTATACAAAAATATTAAAGACTAAATGTGTACAAAATGAGAAATATATTACCCTATTAAGTCATTTTTATCGGCTAACCTGGAGTAGTCAGTCATAAGAATTGAATGTGTACAGTTTAACAAGTTGAATGGGTAAATATAGACGAAAAAAACACTCAGTAACCAAATGTGTACAAATCGAATAAAAACGTTAGATGTTGAAATGATGGTCTAAAAATAGGATTGTTTATGATCATAATCAAAATTTGAAAGGTTTCGACATTTAGGAATGATAAAAAAAAAATAAATAATAAAATAATAATAATAATAAACATTAAAAGAACAACAGTTTCATCTTGTAGGGAAAGCCAAAAATAACATCACAGTCTAAATATTTCAATTTCATCTTGGAACCACCTATGCCATGTCCTAAGTCCTTTTAGCACATTATAAAACCTCTAGAAATAATTAACTTATTCTTATACTTAATCTTCTAATAAGAAGTATTTATTGTTATATTTTTATTTATAAAAAATACTAATTAGGCTGCATTAAAATGATCTGGCCCTCCTCTACTTTTTTTTCTTGTGAAGTATGTTTCTTTGAAAGAACACAATGTTAGGTGAGATATAGGGTTGTGGGGTAGGTTGATTAAAAAATAATTAAATTTATTATATATATATATATATATATATATATATATATATATATAATATATATATATATATATATATATAGGTAAATTCAATTGAGAAAATAAAAAATGTTAAGAATGGGGAATCATTCTCAGTCAATCATTTATTTTTACCGCAAAGCACTCTGCTTACCAGACCGACGTAATATGAGTAATATTTATATATAAATATAAATATAAGTGTATTTATATACGAAATGAATAACTCAAATTCATTCCCTCGTTCTCAACTTTTTTTTCTTAACTGAAACCTCCCATATATATATATATATATATATATATATATATATATATATATATATATATAAGTCAATATTCTTTTTAAAATACTATTTGTTATTATAGTATATTTAATTCATCATGCGACTAGATATCTAGTCAAAAGGTGGCTTAATTGTGTATTGTAAATTTGTTGATGTGAGTTATTATAAGTTTATTGATAAATTTAATAAACATGATAAAAAAACAATAACAAAAACTAATTTACTGCATTTATTTTAAAACAGTTTAATATAATATTTTTATACATCGTTATATGTTTACTATATCAAAATGGATTATATGTATTGTTAGTCGAAAAAGAAAAGATAAGATGCAACCTTTTTCTATAAGAAGAAAGATGTTATAGACCATTGATGATTCTCTTACATATCCGTTTACAAGATAACATAACTTGTAAGTATTAAGTTTTTACCAAAATATATTAAAACTCTCCTGAATAAATGTATAACATTAACTCCATTGTCCCATTGCTACCAAATTAGGTATGATTAGGTAAAAAAGTTGTGTTATAAAAATTAATGTGCACCAACTCACCGCAATCAAACTAGAAAAATAGACGTTTGTAACATTGATAGAGTTTGACACATTTTTGTGTGGAAGATTTATGAATGAGACATTTATTTAGTAAAAAACAAAATATTTTCTGATTTATATTAAATAAGTACTTTTCATAAACTCTGATGACTCAAGTAACCGAAGGGGTCTCTAATTTATAGAATATTATTATATTACTATAATGCATATAAAAATAAATTTGGACTTTGTAAAGAGATACACCAACTCATGTTCACATCATCATTGTTGATCAAGTATCCTCATTTCTTTTGTTTTAAGATGCATGATTCACGACGTAGCATGATCCTCGTTTCTTTTGTTTTAAGACGCATGTTGTCGTCTTGATTCGTCGTTTTACAATCTACAATAAAAAAAATGTACAACAAAACTTACAAACTCTTTTGCAAATTAAATAAACCAAAAATAAATATACAACACAATTTCAACCATAAACAACCACAACATTCAACACATAATTTTGGGCTTAAGTAATGTTTTCATCATAATGAAGACTTTAATAGTTTGTTTTATTAAATCATACATGTAGTTTAATAAGAAAATAATATTATCTAAAATATACAATTAAAATATCAAAATCAATTATTTAACAAATTATAGTATTTTGACAGTTTTTTTCAAGAACATGATGAACAAACAATCAAGTTACTGTAATTATGGTTTTTTAGAACGACTAACATACACTTTCTCTTTAATCCTACTCCTAAACTACTCATTGTGTCTATCACATCACTTGAACCCTTAACCCCATTGAAAAGAAACACCTTGATACCACTATGTCAAAGGCTCTTTGGTACTATAATTAAGTGATAATAATTTCTAAACGTAGCTCTTATACCATTGTTGGTAGGGGTGAGAATTTGGATCTGTCGACCGGACCGTTTTTTTTTTTGACCCCCTGGCTGGTTCTCGGTTCTAGGATTTGAGCAAAACCGGTGTCCGGTCCGGCCAGTTCCGGGTAAAAACCGGTTTTGGACCAGTTTATTTTAAAAAAAAACTTGTATTATGTGAAATTCATTAAACAAGCATATCTCATTAGTTTTAAGTCGGATTGACATGCGATTTTTCCCAACGTGTAACTTAGAGTTTGTAGATGATTTTAGAATATAATTTTATTGTTTTTGGTGCTATATTCGACGAGTTACAATCATTCAAAGATGAGATATCAAAGCTGAAATATTTCAGTTTTTCAGCAAAAAATTTAAACTTTTATATTCAGTGAAATTCTTTAAACAAACATATCTCATTCGTTTTAAGTCGGATTGACATGCGGTTTTATCAGACGTGTAATTTAGAGTTTGTAGATGATTTTAAACTTTTTTTTGTGTGTGTTATATTTGATGAGTTACAATCTTTCAAAGATGAGATATCAAAGCTGAAATATTTCAGCTTTTCAGCAAGAAATTTAAATTTTTGTATTCTATGAAATCCTTTAAACAAGAATATCTCATTCGTTTTAAGTCGGATTGACATGCAGTTTTTCCAATGTGTAATTTAGAATTTGTAGATGACTTTAGACTATAATTTTGTTGTTTTGGTGTTATATTGGATGAGTTACAATCCTTTCAAAATGAGATATAAAAGCTTAAATATTTCAGCTTTTCAACAAGAAATTTAAACTTTTGTATTCTATGAAATTCTTTAAACATGCATATCTTATTTGTTTTAAGTCGAATTGACATGCAACTTTTTTCCAACGTGTAATTTAGAGTTTGTAGATGAGTTTAGACTACAATTTTGTTGTTTTTAATGTTATATTCAATGAGTTACAATCCTTCAAACAGATGGTATGAAGTATAAACAACCAAGTTTAACTGGTCCAAAAGGGCACAAGAAACGGAAACATATTCATTTTTACGAGTTGTACCATATCAAACCCAAAAAAATATTCATTTTAGCGAGTTGTAACATATCAAACCCAACAACATATTAATTTTAACGAGTTGTATCAAACCCAAAAACGTGTTTTAACAAGTTGTGTCATATGCATGTAAAGTTGTACAGGTACAAATGGGTCCAAGAACCGGAAAACCCGGACCTGGACCCGGTAAGTCTCATCTGGTCTGATCCATGGTCAACGATATTGTCCGAAACCGTTCCGGCCCAAGAGCCGGTCTGGTCTGGTCCAAATGCTCACCCCTAATGTTTGGGCTTTGTAATAATCTATAATAGTTGTAGAAAATGGTTTTTGAGTGTTTACGAGCACCACATGCTCAAGATTTTCTTCTAGCTATCCCTATAGATGAGCTTGGTTGTAACGCCCGCAGATCCGGGCTAGTCAGTTAAGACACAATAAGCGGCGAAAATGACTTTTTGATAGAAGGTTATTTAGAATAAATAATCTTAACTAAGTTGTATTATATGTCACAAAGGTTCCGTACATATAAAGAACGCCGAAATCCGAGCTGTAACGAAGAAGTTATGACCTGACGAAGTTTCGCGACAGAACCGGCACGACACTGCGTGACGTAAATAGTGAATTTAAGATAGAAGACTTTATAGCCTTAGCGATCTAA